CCTTTCCCCAACAACAAACCCACCAGCCCAACAATGGTCTCCAACCCTCTGGCTTGTAGTCCTGGCCACATGCATGCTGCTGCGCACATGCAAGGGGCATTTATTGGTCACATTTTCCCTGATGCAGCCAATAAAGAGCTGATTTCCAATACTGTCAGTTTTCCCTATACCAGTGCCAATCCAATATGGAACTGATTAGAGGTGCACCTCTAATATATATCCCATTTACACATCAGCAACAATTTATTCAGTCTATACAGAAGTTTTGTCCAATCCCATGATCTGACTTAGAAAAAAAGAGATTGGTGCTAGTGTCTCCACTGAACAATGGACTGTCTGTACTTTTAAAAAGTACAATTCCTGTGTTAGAGATAAAGTTATTCCTATTCATACAGGTCTAGTTCCATACTTTTTGTCTGAAAAAATATTTAGAACAGACAGATCAATTAATGATATGTGAAGGGTGACAGAACAATTACAATGTAATTGGCAATATAATTACCTCTGAATGAATTTAAAAAAAATGTTGGACTGGACTCCCAAATGCTAAAGTGGATTTTGAAATTAATTTTCCCTGCGACTAAAAATAAGTCTAGCTTATTTCAACTGTAAATTGGGAATAGTATTGGTCATACAGGCTTAGGGGCAAGATAGTTTGTGTTTATACAGTGCTCTGGGTATGTAAAGAGCATCAAGATAAGTATGTCAGTAAAAGTTTTAAATGCTAAGTTATCCCATGGAAAGTCAAACTCTGCTTTGCCATCTGGGCTGCAATTACTTAGGACCACCAAGAGCCAGCTGGGCTACCCGAAGTGCTATCTGTGCTTTAAAGATAAATTGTTACCGAAAGCCATTTTAATCAACCCAACTTCACTGAACAGGTACAGAAAATGATTTGGTGCTACAGCAGAATAACAAGCCTCAAGATGGATTTGGGCAGTGTTTACTAGTATTGAGAACTGCCAGTTCAGAAGAATCCATCACTGACAATTATCAGTACAGTACAGGCAGAGATCAAGGGTCTACTCCCTTTCCTCTTATTTTGGCACATGAAGGCTTATAAAAAGTGCTATTCTAGACCAGACCCAAAGTCAGCTACTCTAGTAGTACTCTCCCTCCCAAAGCAGCTGACATCAGATGCTTCAAAGGAAAGTGCAAGAACAAGAAGCAGGTGCAAGACGGTATGTCCCGTCCCACCCCTGCCCCATCTACCTCTGCTCTCAATGTGAAACAGTGAGAAGCTGGACAGCGCAGGCTTAAGCCGTTTCTAAGCAGCTGGGGGCCATATGCCACGAGGCAGCATTGGTAGGGGCTGTGGTGTGCACGCATGACCCCCTGCTGCATCACACGCCCCCGTGGGTGCCTCCTCCCACTGCTACACTGCACGCCGCAACTCCAACCCCACACGCCCCATGTGCCCCCAACCTCACACTCAGCTCTGTGCCCCACACCGCACCCTGCCACAGCAGCAGGGTACAAAGTGGAAGCTGGAGGATGGAGGAAGCACTCTGTAGCAGCCAGAACAATGTTATGGCAGCTGGTGCCAGGTGCAGGCCAGGGGCCGCCACAGGCAACCGGTGGGACCGCCCCAGCCCCAGGCTCTGGATGCAACATCCAGGGCTCCTCCCCACAGCGGTGGCACCTCCAAACCTTCTTGGCATCCAAACATCAGTCCTTCCTCAAACCTCATGACGCTTCTTTTCCTCACACGTGCCAACCTGCTTGGCTTTCTCAGCGCCCTGCATGGCTCACCCCAGAGCTCCTGCAGTTGCGGCAATGTGGGGAACAGATGCAGGCAGATGCTAACGGGGCCCAGTGACAGCCAGCACAAGCGGCTCCCTTAGGGCTGGCCCCCGTGAGCGCGAGGGAGGAGATGCTCCCCAGGCCGGACCCCTCCGAGGTGGGGGTTACGCGAACTCGGGGGGACAGGAAGGACCCTGGAGCCCGAGGAAGAAGCGAGGCTGCTGCAAGGCGCTGGCCGGGCTCCTTCACCCGAGCGGGGGGCCGTACACAAGCCTGAGCCCCAACGCCCAGGGCCACGGCCACCGCCAGAAGCCCTCCGCCCCGGGAAAGGCCAAGGCCAAGGCCAAGGCGGGGGGGGGGAGAGGGGCCACACCCGAGTCCCCCCGCTCGCTCCCCACCTCTCTCACCCGCTCCGTAGCAGCCCCGACGCACACCGGAAGCGTCGCCTGTCTGCCGCGGGGCGTCGTACCGTCACTTCCACCTCCGGCGGAACTCCAATCCTAGAGCACCACCCCCAACCCCCCATCAGCGCGATGGGGGAACGTTCTAGCCGCCAATCGGAGTTTAGAAAAACGCCAACGCCGCCTCATGGGCTCGAGAGAGCCGGGGTGCGCATGCGCAAGTGTCCACTGCCTCCGGGAGGGGCGGGGCGGGGCGGGGCGGGGCGTGGGGGGTCCCCGCCTACCGCGCTTAGTGTCAGCACCCCTCCCAGCCCCCAGGGAACCACGTGGCGCAGGGAGCCCTAATGTAGTGCAGACTCCATCACCTGCCATCCTGTGCTCTGTCTGTCAGGTGCAGAGGGCGTCGCTCAGTGCAGTAGGATCACCCTTCTCCCCTCAGTGGGCATCACTGTGTGCCCGTGGAGGGTGGCTGGCGCCGTGGGTGTGGAAAGGGCTGACGTCCGCCACGGGATGAGTGAGCCTGCCTGGCGCCAGCTGCTGGACTCAGCACCCTGGCAGCGGGGAGGGCACACCTGAAGGGCACACCTTCCCCAAGCAGGGGCTCCCTGGCTTCCACACAGACAAAGGAGCGGCCTCCTGGCACCTATGTGCAGGGCGGGGACTCAACCAAGCCTCCCACCTAAACACCACAGGGGCACCCACGTCTCCACAGACAAGGCGCCTCTGATTTAGTAGTCTCATTGCATAGCTACAAACGCAACACGTTTCTTGTAGCCCCGCGCTTTAGCAAGGCTGAGCTCGGCCTAGTGACTAAAATGGTCAGCTGCTATCTGGTGCCCTAGAAAACCATCACGTTAAGAGCAGAAGGCAGGGTGCTCATGTATTAGCCCATTACTCACTCCAAAAACAAGTCCACCCTACTTCCTTAAACGCTCCTTAGGCCTCATAAATTGCACCCTTCCTTTCCCATAACGTTGGATCACCACCTGTTCTATTAAAAGGATTTGTTTTCTAATCATGGCCGGGTCACACAGGCTGCCTTGGAAGTGATTTAAATGAAGCAAGGCAACATTTTTATTTTCATGGACACATTGACCTGTTAAAGAAGGGGATTTCATCCCCTGCTGCATTAGAAATAAAATGGGTTGGTCCTGCTTTGAGCAGGGGGTTGGATTAGATGTGATCTCCTGACATCCCTCCCAACCCTCCTGTTCTGTGACTCTCTATTACATCACCATTATTTTGGGACCCTGGCTGGACTGGGTTGACCATAAAACATGAGAAAGGGATATTCCTACTTGGGGCCATGAACTTGTGGGTCAAGAACACCAGTGTTTATTGATGTATTCAGTTTCATGAACTTATTATAAATGTGTTTGTGCCTGAAAGCTTGCAACGAAAACTTTTTTTTTTGGAAAAATCTTGGTCTAATAAGATATATCATCTCTACTACAAGTCCTAATTGCCTTTTCAGTACACATTTGAGGTTGTGCATTTATATGACCTGAATTCCATGTATAAGTGGGTACTGGGCACATCTACCAGCTGTTACACATTGGTTGGGTATAATTATTTCAAGCTTATTTGGCTGCTGTATCCGACTCCCAGATAGAAATGCAAGATTAGAAAATGCATTACAATTCTCTCTCACTCATGGACCAGTAAGTATCAGAAAATGAGTTTTTCGGTTGCCAGACATGCCCAACAAACACAACTTGGGTGCAGGAATAATCTGTCACATGAGCACACTGAGGAGCTGACCAGAATTAGAAACATTTTACCCCTCATTTTCCATCTCAATTTTGGAGAGGTATGGGTTAAACAGAACCCAGGTTTTGTTTAGATTTTGTTTTGCAGTATCAAAATCCCACTGATGACCTTGCAAAATGAACCCCAGCATTTGCTTATTACTTGCCTCTCATCTTTATATCGGATTTTTCTTTATAAAATTCCTGTCATCTCTCAGTTTCCCTTCATTTTTACTAAAATCAACCTTTTGATTGACGGAGTCAGGAAAATGACCATATTTTGTTTTGCTCATAATTTTCTAAAGAAAAAAAAGCTGTACACTTTAGTTGTGAACTTGCTGATCTTGCCAATTTAAAACTGAGCTTCCGACTGTATAAAGAACAAAATGATTACAGTAGCTGAATTAACAGTGGTAGTAAAGGTCATTGTGGAATAGATTCTCTGACCTTCTAAGGGGCACATTATTTCATCTAGCCATTTAAGAAAGTGATTGCAGAGACACCATCCTCCAGCTGATTTAATGAAATGCCCATATGCTACATATAGTTTAGTGATGCACTGTATTCCAGATGCATAATTCTATATGCCCTAATTCCTATTAAACTATCTTCCATTTTGGAATATTTTTTTCTGTCAAGTAATTCAAATCTTAATCTCTTTATATTTATTTTCTTTAGTTGACTTCCCATCACCCTCTCAGTGCAAGGAACTAGGGTATGATTTCTGTAGCATTTTTGTTTAAGTTTAAGCAGCAAACACTTCAGGCAGTAATCAATGTTTGCTCTGTATATAGTACTTAATGAATTGTTTGACCAGCTGTAAGAAAAAAAAAATCCAAAATATTGTTTTTAAATTAGTAACTGTTTGGGTTAGTGAATCATTTGCTAATTCATCCCAATTTTTTTGCAAATGGACTTGTGAACTGTTAGGGTGGGTTGTCTGAAAATCTGTTTTCTTCAATTTCTAATCCATTTATGGAGCTGTTAGTCCATAAACTGCAAAACTTTACTTTGCCACTAGCCAAAGGCTTATGCACCATTTTACATGGTCAGAATAAGACTTCTGTGGTTGACTTCAACAGACATTCTTCCCAGAAGTACACTTCACTTTGAGAGAGGAATGGGCTTTCTGGCATGCATTTTCAGTTGAAAAACCAAATCGCACTAATCATGAAGCTAAGCTAGCTGAGAATTCTTGGAGCAGGCAATTAAAAGTCTTGCCTCTTCAGCAAGGGAGACATTACTGAAATATTCAAGCTTTGCTATTCAACTAGATGTAGAACCAGAAAAACTAAAAAGCCTAGAAGTTATGGACTTGTGATATCCAAGAGTAATTTCCAAGCATCACTGCATGGATGCTACTTTAATTATACATAGGATCTCATTTCCTGCAGCACAGTAGAAGCAGCATTTCCCATTCTTTATACTGAAAGGGAATGTTCACTGCCTGTTTGAGGCAGCAGGTGCTTTTGCTGAAGCAGCATCTGCTTTAACAAGTTTAGTGGCTTTGTCTTGTTAGAGAACTCATATGTGTTCTGAACAAGTCCGTACTCAAGTGCTAATTAATTTGTACTAATTATTTTCAAGTATGATAATTCTATCAACCGGTAGGTTTAAGAAGTAGTGCATATATAATTGTATCCACAAAATTACGTGCAAAGTGAACAGCAAGGTTGCTTATGCAAGATCCCTAGAACTGTATGCACAAAGTTAAGTATGTATTTAAGTGCATGGGAGAAAACAGATTCCCACTGGTTCTTCTCCGTGTAGCCTGGTGGTTGATGGCTTGAGAATGGTATTTCAAGGTTTGCTTTTTGGGAATTGGCCAACCGTAGTCACGCAATCCACCTGTACAGCCAAATTCCAGTCACTAGTATGTTGTGTCCATTTTGAAAAGGAAGTTATGAAAGGAGCTAAAGTAACAGTACCCAAAAATACAGAAATAGAGAAGTGAAGTTGCAGTCTAGAAACACGTGCATCATTCAGGGGGAGGCTGTTTCAGTACTAGACGGGAAAGCGTGAATAAGTCTCTGAGAAGCTAACATACTCTAAGAAGGATCATGTTAAAAAGAAATTGCCCCTCAACTATGGACAAAGATGTTTTGCACTAACAGAGTACTATAGTCTTACTCCTGATTTTCATGCAAGTAGGAACTGGATGGGGACATGGCTCTGATCCACCAAGGGTCAAAAATTTCTCACTGATGGCAGTAGGCACTGATTTAGGCTTGAATATAGTTAAAATCCCCCTATGCATAGACAGAGCCTGATCCTGCTTTGTTGAGATCTGTAAAGCAGGCAGTAGGTTAATCTGGATAGAAAATGTCTATGCCAAAACCTTGAAAAAGAAGGAAAGAGCAATAAATTGTCACTGATGCTATTAACGTTTTTCCTATGGCACATAGGTACAAAGACAAAATTGGAAGCATCTCATTTTTTTATTAGGGTTTATTATCTCAGATTTTTCCACATGTAGTCCTTAGAGACTATATGAAAATGTTTCATACATACAGCATTGCACACAGTACAAAAATAAGCAAGCAGTGTGTGTTCATTTATAGTTAAAATATAGCTACAGTATTTGCATTCCTACAATCTTTACCTTTATTAGTCTGAATAGATACATCTCTATTGCAAGTTCTCTTTAAAACCATTAAAAAAGGCAGCAATATGTAAATGGAAGGCAAGTAGTCTTTTATTTCCCCTTTTATTGCCATCTTCCCTTTATTGTCTTTACTTTGGACTTATGATTTTCATAAGGCTTACTGCTTAATGTAATTAGTAAAAATACCCCAAATTCATGAACAACAGCACCAAGATGTTTGATGTGGACTAACAGCATTGTTGTTTACAAGTATCCAGACAACTCAGTTCTATTAATGACAACTGGCAATTCATTCACAAGTCAGTTCAATCATAGAATCATATCATAGAATCCTAGAAGTCGGGTCGGAGGGACCTTGTAAATCTGCAAGTCCAACCCCCTGCCTGGGCAGGAGAAAAAACTGGGCTCAATGAATGATCATGCTCAAGATAATTACTTCAGGAAGAAGCAGCACCATGCAACTTAGCTGACTAACCACACACCAGTGGATATTTACCTCTACTTCACTGAAGTCCTCAAACATAGGATTTCACACTACAAGTTGCACTGAGAGAGCACAAAAAGTGAATTTCCACATTGCAAACTCTTTTTGCTTTTAACTCCACATGCTAACAGCTCATTGTTTCAAACTCATGCAACTATTTGTGAGAAAGCTGGTTAAAAAGTTTCTCAAAAAACTTGAGGCAAAAGGAGATGATGCATACATGATAGCTGTTCTCATATGCCACGTATCCGATTTGATCATGAATAAAAGAACTTGCACAGCAGTAGCCAATTGGTAACATTTCAGAGACAATCCCTGGTACTTTAGAGTGACAGCTACTATTATTGCTTATTCCAAACTAAGGCACATATTAAGGCTACCAATCATGACAGTGGTATTATCTGGGACGTTGAAACACTACCCAGTGTTAAGACCTCCCACAAGACCAGCAGTTATGATCAAAGGACCTTGGTATAATCTTTGTTGTGTTTATATGGGTAACAATAATGAAGTTAGTTAATTGAGGTGTGAGAAGCCAGTACAAGGCAAGCTCCTCAGGGCATAAGGGCTGGCAAATCCTGCCTAATGAGTCATCAACAATACTCTTTATCTGCTGTTATGCACAAGCTCTCGGAAAACATTAGATATGTACAAGCCCCCAGTGAATTAGCACAGAGAGATAGCCCCTGTTTATTCCATATTGCTTTCCTGTAGAGAGGATGTCAGCCCTCAAATGGTCTTGGCGATTCCAGAAGGCAAACTCCATGTTCTAAAATGGTATGTCCCGTTTCACGTCCCAGCAGCAAGGAAGTACAGCTCACTCAAAGCTTTTATTTGGGAAACGTTGCTTAACCTGGAAGTGCTCACACTTCTTGTGCTTCATGGTCAGTCCATATTGAGGTGTTATGTCTACCTTCTGTCCATCACATATGCTGAACTCTAGTTGCTGGAGCAGTGTGGCCAAGAAGAGAAACATCTCCCACTTGCCAATGGACTCACCAATACACCTCCTCTTCCCCAAGCCAAATATCAGCACTTTGTCACTCTCCATCCTATTAATTTCTGTCCCTTCAGCATTGAGGAAACGCTCTGGGTTGAAAGCAGATGGCTCTTTCCAAAGTGTTCTGAAACAAAAGAGGGGAGACACCTGAGAATGCCGTTGTATCAATCCTTGAAGCAGTAACTAGAAGTCAAGCATCTCAGCTGGGATAGCCTCAGGACAGAGAAACATTGGATACTACAGTTAAACACTGCAAAAGCCTTTACCACTCAGTGGCAGCCTTACCATCAATGCAAGATTCTGCAAGTCAAGCCACATTAAATTGCCTGTTGCATGCAAGCAGTAGCTAGTTTTCCAGACTCAGTCCGCATTACCCCCTTGAACAGCTGTGCAACTACCAATGTTGAATTTAAAATTATTGGATAGGGACCAGAGACCAGACAACCTCAGCAGAAGGGAGACCAAGTGAATGGACTCAATCTAAGAAAGAAGAGTTAACACTGGATGTCTCAATTTGAGGCCTTTATGGCAGAACCAATTGCTCTTCAAGATCTGACCCACTCTAACCTTTACTCCTATGGGTGCAGGGCTAGTCACATGAATAGTTCCAATGACTTCATACATGATTCACTGCTCAAAGGAGTAAGTTATTCAAAGGCTGGCCCATTAGTAGGAAGGAACCCATTTTGCTTCTGTTCCAGTCAGTGCAACAGACTTACAGGGTCGGATAAAGCTTTAAAAAACTTTCTTCAGAACTGTGCTATTCATGCATGCAGATATCTTGGATGCAGTATTCTTGAGCTTGTTTTTTTAAGTGTGAGACCACATCTGGCTTAAATAATTCTTTTACTGGTAAACCTGGATTAGCTGCTCCCTGGAAGCCATGATTTTGCAAGGCCCAGTAGGAGCACATTCAATATAGTACTATCGTAAGTGGATGGGGTAAAGCAGAGACCCAGATTTGAATGCTTAAAAAAGCCGCCTACTTTGGACCCCAATTCTGTGCCTACTTAAAAGGCTGATTTTTAGGAGGAATTTCAGGTCAACTGAATTATTCTCATTTAAGTAAGAGAACTGGACTTATTATTTAGTGGCCACATAGAAATTTCTCAGAGAAGAGTGCTTTTCCCCTGAAACGGACACTTCAGCCTGCTTACAATCTATACCTACTGACCAATATGATGTACCATATTGCTCAGAATCCTGTGCAGTCATTTGTACCTCACCTAGACTTCTCCTATGTTTTAAAAGTGCATTTGACTATGTTGAGTACCAAGCAATTACATTTAAATCAGAAGAATAGTAGCTTAATATACTTACTCATCATGGTTGACTTGCCATTGGTTGATGAATACACAGAGGTTTTTAGGGATGTAGTAGCCATTCAATGATGTATCTTTAGTTGTGCTGAAAGAAATTGAGGGAGCACTGGGTTTTAAAAGTGGCATGTCTCCTTTCAGTTCTAGAGAAGCTTTTAAATTTTTAGATCTCATCTACATCCGCAGTGACTTATTATCCATGCATGTCTAGATAAAGATGGGTAGTTCCAAGTATTATTAGCTAATGGAGACAATTATAAAGCTCACTTTCAGGAACTGAAAACCTCTAGAAGTGATCATGCAAAACTACATCTCTCAAGGAAGAGAGGAAATATTAGGAAACTAAGCAAGGTCATCAAGATCTATTCAGACAACACTGCTGGGAGGTCTGAAGTGAAGCTCTTCAACCAAAGGCCATAACCAACCAAACTTGGGATTCAATAGCTGGAAGAAGATCAGCAATAACGGAGCTGTACAAGTACCAATCCCAAGTGTTAGGCAATGAAATCTACAGCAGCTGAGGGATGGACAGGGCCACAGGCATGATTTAAATAAGTGACTCAACATTTGCTTGGGGTACTTTCCCCACCCCAACTACCCATCTCAATAAGGAGATTCTTTTTGTACTATTTACACAGTGGAGTGTGGGTTATTTGGCTTCATATCTGGAAGGGTTACGGCGATAAGAGGGTAAGAAATCCACTGGGGTTAGTCAGAAGACCATTCCCATGGAGAACTCAAAAAGACGCAAGTCAAGATGGTCAAAGCATCACCTTACCAGTGAGGAATTGTGAAGGGCACAAAGGAAGAATGCCTGAACGTCTCCAGTATAAAGGCCTCGAGGTATGGCAGCATGAGTCGGTCCGACAGCCTGGGTCTCCTCTCTCTGCCAATGGTCTGATCTACAAGTTGGGAAGGAGAGGGATGTTGATTGAGAGGCCTTTAAAGAGAGATATTACTACTTTTTAAAACTTTAGGGCGGGGGGAAGAATCTTTACCCAATTCATTCTGAATCTTCTTCTGAATGTCTGGATATGTTACAAGGTACACAAGACTCCAGGACAGGGCAGTTGTCACAGTATCAAAACCTGGATAGAAAAAGGGGAAAGTATTTAGTTGCCAAGTGGAGACAAATGAAAGGATATAGCCCTGACTTGCTAGTAATTTCTTAGCCAAATTTCACAGCTTACTAAATATTCACGTTTGTGCCATTTCAATAGCAAGGCTGATCAGGAAGTCACTTGCTAAGGTTAATCCTCAAAAGAGTAGCTATTCCACAACTTCGTCATCTCAAGACACCCAGAAGCCCAGGGGTTCTAGTTCACACCCATTTACTCACTTTATCAGCTCAACTCCAGATTGTCAGCACTGAACCGCAGTACGCCTGGAATATGGGTTTCACTGTTCCTGCTTTTTCAGGTTGAATGTCTTAAGAATTTTTTTTTCCAACTTTTTAAAGTTGGTCTAATAAAATATATCAGATTCACTCAAAGAACCTTGTCTGCCTTAAGAATTTAATACCTTCATAGTTTCTCTTTAAAACACTCATTGATTGATAGTGGGTCTGAATGAATTAGAAGACAGAAAAAAATCTGGAACCCTGTGCTTTTGAATGGAAGCATTCTTACCAGCTCCAAAAAGATCATTGACAAGGTTGACAATCTTTTTCTCAGGGAGCTGAATGTTAGCATTCACATCCATTTTTTTATCCTGACAGTGTTCAATCAAAGAGTCAGTGATATCACGGATGTGGCTCTGAAATAGAAGAATACAGAGAATGTAAATGGTACCAAAATCCAGAACATTAAGTCAGTTAAACTAGACTAATCTACTCGTAAAAGTAGGAAAATTGATTATGTTACTGCCACAGATGTGGATGTTTTCAGTTTTACACTGTGTATTCAGAAACTTAAAATTTACTTTTTTTTTTTTTTTTTAAATATACCAAGCCCTTAGATAACAATACTATTTATTCTCTCTCATTTTAAGGTCTGTAGCAGCTAAGCTAAATCTTAGATGAATAAAAATGATAATGAATTGGAAAAAATGCAGTAGTAGCAATAGTAAAATATATAAAAATAATATTTGGGGACACTGATTACAATAACATATAGTGTGGTGCTTGACTAGCAGAGTTTCTATGGGATAAATTCCCTTTAGCAAAACACTGCTACATTGTGTGCACTGATCTCAAACTGTTTCTGTGAATATTTGTTTGCCAGCCAGAAGGTAAAAGACAAGTCACCTAACAGACAATAAAGGGCAAGAAGAGAACGCAAATGAATTGCCTCTGAGTGTTTACCTTATCAAAGGTAGTGTAATGTTCCTTAACAATCTTATGCACAAAAGCACTGAACCTCTTATTGAGATCTTTGAAGATCTTCATGGGACGGCTTGGGAAATACTGGAGTATGGGGATGAAGTCTGCTGGGTTCCCAGAGGCAGCCACATCCCCAAACTCATTGTTGAGGCTGACCAGACTTAATAACTCCTGGTCATCATGGCTGTAACGCTTGCCAAAACATATGCCACAGATGACATTGGCCACAGAGATCACTGCGTACCGGTAGGCATCAAAGCTCTTTTTCTCTTTCATCTGTTGCAGTAACTTTGTGATTAGGTAGTCAGCTTCTTTGAAGACATGTTCTTCTAAGAGGCAGGTAGAGGAGGCAGTGGGGCTGGGCGAGACTGAGAAGGTCTTCAGGGCATTCTGGGCTAGCTTTCTGCGGGCTCTCCACACCTCCCCTGAATCACTGCTGAATGTCAAACTCTGGCCATCCCCAATGTAGCGAAAGCTGCAGAGATCGGGTCGTCCCATGAAGTCTTCTGCTTGCTTCACCAGGGCTTGTCTGATGGTGTTTAACCCACTCAGGACTAGCACTGGTGTAGTGCCAATTCGTATCTGCATCACGTCTCCATACTTCTGGCTCATCTGAGTCAGTGACAGGTGTGGGTTCCTTCCCAGCTCCAACACATTGCCTATCAGAGGGTATCCCCTTGGTTCAGGGAGTCTCTTCAGCCCATGTGGGATCTGTTGCTGGAAGGATCTAATGACAGTGAACACCAGGAGAAAAACAGCCAAGGCAATAAGAATTTCTGTGACTGAGAAGATGCCTTGGCTTCCTAGCAGTGACATTGCAGTCTTCATCTTCCTGGGTCTGATAACAAGAGAAAGGGATGAGCAAAAAGGTAAAACCCAAGCAGCACTTCTAGTTTTGAGGCACTTATTTAAGGGTTACTTCATAGAACTAGGAAACCCAGCTCCTAACTTTGATTCAGATACTCACTTTGAGACCTTAGGTCATTTTAATTCAGATGAAATTCTGACACCTTTGCTCAGATTGTGATGTCCTAAACTCTAGTATGTCCTACTGATCCCCTAGCCCTTTATCCCTTGCATGCGTCTTGCATTTATAACTACAGCAAACTTCCTTTTACATATAACCCCCCCCAAAAAAGCATAAGATATGAAATCTGTTACTTTCTAAACTTTATTTACTATGCACACTGACAGATTTTCCAGAGACAGGGTCTTTGTAACTCCACTAAACAATTTACATTGACAATTTTATACACATTCAGCATCCTTTTCAAGGTGCAGCTCTGAATCTCATTGGGGAAACCCACTTCCCAGAAACTAGTTGCATTTAGACCAGGTTTTAAATAACCAAAAGCAAGAAGAGATACAGACCACCTTCATTTTACTCTTGCACAAACCCAGGACTTTAATACTTTGCACCAATTTTACACATGTAAAAGTCCTTAAGGATGGAAGAGCATTTTACATGAGACAGGTCAAAATCTCATCACCTTACCTAAATAGCTAGTCAAGGGGCCATCAACTCCAGAACACTTCACTATGGTTCACAAACAATTCATGCAGGGTTTTCCCCAGATTTTCTATGGACAGCTCCATTACATGCCATTTCTGGAGTAGAACATTTTACTTCTGCAACACTAAACCACTATTTACTACGAAATAGAAGATGCCTTAAAGACTTGACCTTACACAAGGGAACTCCCAAAATAGAGAACATATGCTGTACTTTGGCCCCAACACTGGCAGCTCTAGCCTTTTTGAAAAATACCACAAAGAAAGAATGTATTTAAGATTTCAGTTTTAAGCATCACCTGGAAGAGAAAGATAGTATTACTAGGAGCTCTGAACCACCTCTAGAATGATTGCACTATATTTTTTGGCAGAGAGGCAGACTTCTGAGGAGAGGCTGAGGGAACTGGGCTTACTTAGTCTGGAGGAGAGAAGACTGAGGGGGGATTTAATAGCAGCCTTCAGCTACCTGAAGGTGGTTACAAGGAGGATGGAGCTAAACTGTTCTCAGTGGTGGCAGATGACAGAACAAGAAGCAATGGTCTCAAGTTGCAGCAAGGGAAGTTTAGGTTGGATATTAGGGGGAAAAAAAAAATCTCAGTAGGGTAGTAAAGCACTGGAACAGGCTACCCAGAGAGGTAGTAGAATCACCATCTTTAGAGGCTTTTAAGACAAAGTCTTGTCTGGGATGATCTAGTTGGGGATGGTCCTGCTTTGAGCAGGGGGTCAGACTAGACGACCTGCTGAGGTCCCTTCCTACCCTACTTTTTGGATTCTACGAATCTCACCTAAAAAACAATGCAGTCCTGCTTTGTCAAGAATCACTACTATATCCTCTGCACACCTCTCAAAAATGGGAATACTACATGAGTTGTAATCTTCCTCCAGTGGAGCTTTTGACCTGTAGCTACTGCACCAGTGCACGCTAGTTGCAGGATCAGGCAGATATTCCTATCAAGTGGGTTTTATTTCAGACACAATAGACCGTATCAGTTCCAAAGAGCACTTTCATGGATGCATCAATGAAAGCATGAGCCATAAAGGCTGGCAGAGAAGAGGGAGTGCCTCCCACTTTCATTGACAGTGAAGTGGAAACTAGTGAATGAAGGAATCCAGTCCAGATTTTTAGCCTCTCCTTCTTGGAGAGCGAGACCTCTACCTGTTCATTCACTAAGAACAGGGGAGAAGGAGAGTGCTTTCAGGAGAAAAGAGCTCATCTTAAAGAGGTGTGAAAGAATCACCAGGATTTATGTTCATCCCAGGATTAGGCAGAAAAAAACCTGCCGTCCTGATTGTTATGGGGAAGGGACCTGTTGGAGATTAGGAGATTTCAGCCTTTACAAGCAAGCTAAGCAGTTCCTAGGGAAGACACAGTTGCCACCTCTGCCCATAAGCATCTGGGATAAGAAGTCATCCACTCAGCGCTTTAACTTTCAGCCCATTCAGACCAAACCCTCCAAAATGCTTTAGAGGAAGAAGGTGGACTACACAAGTGCTTTACCAGACACCTTGCCCATTTCTGTCCTCTGCGAGATGGGAGGCAAGACACGCCAAAGACCCTGCCCCATCCTCTAGTCCTTCCTGATGAGCAGAGATTGGGGCCTTAACCTGACAGCCAGCTGCTCCCACCACATCCCGGTGAAGACAGAACCAGGCTACCCAAAGATCCTGCTCCTCCGGGAGAAGATGGCCCCACTTCAAGGAGCCAGTCGGCAGGAGACTTAAGGGCTGGGTCCTGCCTGCTGTGATGTTCAAGAAGAGCAAGACCTGCCTCTCCATTATTCCCCTCCAAAAGAAGTGAGTGTGAGATGCTCCCTCATTCACCTGAAGTGCAGGAGAAGACTGGAGCTGCTTGGGCTGGGGGAGGAAGGAGCTGCCCCCTGCAAAGGGGCTGGGGCTAAGCCCCCACCCCAGGGGGCCAGTCCCTCTCGGATGCCGTTGGCAAAGACGGATTTGCTCCACGCTCCCCTGAGAAACCCCACCCCACGGGATGGTCTGCAAGGACAGGCTTCTCCCCATCAGCCCGGCTGGGGAAAGCCTTGCAGCCCCGCGGTACCTGCGCGAGTGCGGCCGGGCGGGGAGCCGGGGTGCGCAGCCAGGTGCCTCGTGCCGCTGCCAGGTGGCTTCGCCTCTCCAGCACCTGGGCGCCGTGCCCCTCTGCCCGCTTTATATGCGCCTCCGAGCCTCCCGATTGGCGGAGCATCCCCCGTCACGTGGCAAAAAAAAAAAGTCTGAGCAAAAAAAAAAAAAAGAAAAAAAATCCCCGTGGCTCCGGCTCCCGTTGCGGTGAGGACGGGAAGAGAGCGCGGCTCGAGCCTCTTTCGGCTCGCCAGGAGCGGGGCCCTGAGGGGAGCAGGGGAGACGCCCGGTAGCGGAGGCTGCACTGCGGCGCATCCCCCGAGCGCCAGGAGCGGGGCCGTGCCCTTCTCCCCGCTCCTACCTGGGCTCAGGCTGCCCCCCTCCCCGCGCTTGCTGCATGCGATGGTACTGCCGCCTGTCCTCCTGGGGGCCCGGACCCTGATGGGGAGCCGCACGGGCCCCGGGACCCAGCGGGGTCCACGGTGCCCCCGTGCCCCGAGCCGCCCAGGGCACCCCCCTTACCACCCCGGGGGTCCTGGCAGCGCCCGCCATTGAGAAGTGTCCCGGCCTGGTGTCTCCCCCGGCCCGCGCGCAGAGCTCGCCCCCGAGATCGGGGTGGGACTGGCCTCCAAGACAGGAGGCTTTGCACAAAGCCACTGCTCTGCATCGCGGGCACGTGGGGCAGCCATGGGCATGGGCATGGGCATGGGCATGGGCATGGGCGGGCAAGGAGATCTGGGCCCCCGGGTAGGGACCGTGCAGGGGCTGGAGCCCCCTGGGCATGGGGGCAGGAAGATCCAAGCCCCGGGCAGGGAGCATGCAGCTGGTGCCCCCGGGTACAGGGAGGCGAGGATGACATGAGAAGCTCTTGGGCTGCATTTCATCGCTTTCCCGGGCAAACCAGCGGGGAGAGATTGGCGAGGAGCGGGGTGCTGCTGCAAAGACCCACGTGTGTGTGTGTGCGGGGCCCGATCCCCGGGATGCTGGTCCCTTGGGAGCCCGGGGGAGGCAGGATCGGGCCCCTGGCCAGCCCTGCTGTGGGGGGAGGGGGGTGATGAGTTGCCCTCCTCCCCCCACATTGCCCCGGGCTGTTTGCGAGGCGAGGGGCCGGCGCCTGCTGCAGCCACTCGGCTCCGGGGATCGCGTGAGAAGGGGCCGGGATGTTTAAACTCTCAGGACAAACCTGTCCCGCCCTGGTCACTCAGTCACGCTATGGGAGGGCTCTTAAAGGGGCAGCGCGCCCTGCTGCACAAGCCTCCCGGCGCTGCTCTGCAAGGGGTTGTGCTGGGGGGCATGGCAGAGGCAGAGGCAGGTGTGTTGGCAGCACGGGGCAGCCCTAACCCATCCATGCCCCAGGAACAACCAGCTCCCCGCATGCATCTTCCCAGTACAGCTCCAGTAAGGATGTGGGGGCACCTCAGGGACCCAGCCACACACCCCTCTACCTACCTCTTAGCCTGCAAGCAGCATGGCAGCCCATGCCAGTGCTGATGCCCCCCTCCCTATGCCATAAGGAGGGTGGGGAGGGGGTCTTGAGCAAGCTGGGGCACCCCTCTGCAGGCAGGAAATAGAATTAAAGAGAAGGACAGGAGGCACTGGCACAAGGGGAAAGAAGAGAAAGACAGAGACCTGCAGAAAGCAGTGAGCCCCTGCCCCTGTTGCTGCCACCCAGGCTTCTTGTCTGAAAGCCCCAGTGACCATGGGTGGCACCACCTCTTCAAGAAACAGCTTGTGGCTCTAGGAGCTCTTAAGTGGGCTGCATGAAGATACATGCATCTCTTTAGCAAGATCCCTGCCACCTTTTTTTTTTTTTGGCTTAGAGGGTGATACTCTGAAGGGACCCCCTGTACCCTCATGCCCTCCAACACTGCTTAGCCCAGCTGAGCCCTCCAGGGCTGTACAGTCCCGAGGAAAAAGAGACCAGAGCAAAAGCATTTGGTCCTTAAAGAGGGGCAGGGGACCAGGTTGTAGGGTGGCTCAGTGAAGGTGGGTTCAGGCAGCAGGGTGTGTTCAGCTGCCTGCGGCTCAGCTGAAGCTGCCTGGCACGCAAGGCTGTCCTCATTAACCCCAACAGCCAGGAAACAAGCAGCCCTGCCTGGGCTTGGCAGAAGCTGTGAACTGCAGTTGGCACGAAGGGAGCTGCTGATCCAGCTTTTGAAAGAGTTTGGGCCAGGGGGTAGTTTTGTCTCCTTCCTTCTCCTATAGTTATAGTCTATACAACACCTGTATAGACTATAACTTTCCAAGGTAGAAAACTGACCAGGCATCACCCAGTTAGGGCCGGTAACAAAGTCTATGGCCCTTGCACTTTCTCTATAGTGTAATGACCGAGGGAGAACTGTGGAACAGCAGGTAAAGGATCTATGGTCATTCTTTCCAGTCATTTAAAGCACAGGTCCAACCCCCATTTTAGGTCATGAAATAACCTACAATGCTAAGAATGCAGACTAAGTATACGAAGACATGTGCACTGATGCATGCCTCTGACACCAGTAAGTGTATCTCTGATTTTACACCTTTGTGAATCATTATTTGTAGAGCACCAGCTGTTTACTACCTACTTTGTAGACAGGCATGAAAACAAGGTCTCTGACTCAAACAGTCTACCATGCAAGTGGCCAGCTAAACAGGACAGAAGCACCTTTGTGCCTATGGAAGTGGCTTCACCTCCTATCACTTATATGAATTCTCTACAAATCCCACAACGCTACACTGAATGGACAGACAGAACAATTTATGTAAGCGCCTGGGAAATTAAGCGTAAAGCAGTATGTCTGTTATGCATTTTGAGTTGCAGGCATACACATTCACATTGATTGTGCATAACACAGCCACGTGACTTTATCTGCCTGCTGAGAGACCAAGTCTTGCTTAACCAGCTGATTTCAGTCTGTGTCAAGGTGAGAGGCTTTGCGGATAGGAGGAAAGAAGTGGGTGCAATAGCTAGACTTTAGGTGATGATTTTTACAGTTTTCCAAGGCATTGTGAAGAGTATGATAAATGGTTGACTGGGTAATTGTGCTCAAAGAGTAGCTGTAAAGATTGGGTTGTGGGCAGTCTGGCTTAATGGCTAGGTCAGTGGGAAGGGGCAGGTGACCCACAGGTTGAGTCAGGGGATCAAAAGTCAGGAACTAAATAATTACACCCAAGAGCTGAGTCCAAATCACAGGTCAGGTCAAGGTTGAGGAGCCAGAAGCTGGTGCTGAAAACAGGAGCCAAGAACCAGAGCGGAAGTCAATGTATGCTAAGGGTCAGATCCAAAAATAGGGCGAACCAAAAGCCAGAGACCAAGTTAGCAGATCCAAGGGGGAGTATCCAAAAAGCCAGAGTCCAGGAACAGAGTCAAGCAGAGTCAGGAGTCAGAGAACAAGGAGTATGAGATCAGAGAAGCTTATCAGAGCAGACCTTCAAAAGAATGGTTGGGTTGCTTGCAGCCTGCTGACACAGCTAGAACTAGGTAGAGAGACTGCTTTCCCCACAGGGGCATAACTAGGGCAGGGAGATAGGTGCAACCCCTTGTAGATGCCAACAGAGGAAAGGGAGGGGGAAGCAGCAAAAAACCAAACAAACCCCAAACCAACCCCCGCCCCCAACTTTTGCAGCAATAACAGTAGCAACAAGTAGACATTACCACTACCCCTATGTGCATCAGCCACCCTTGACATCCAGATGTATTGTAACATTGCTGTCTCCCCCAACAGCCAGTCACGTGGCCATAACAATGGCCATCTGTAGGCAAGTGTAGCCAACTAGGCAATTAGTCCAGGCTGGGCTGCCTTTTAAGACCCCTGCTAGCAGTCACTCATGGTTCACTGTCTAACTGGTAAAAAGTTTTAAAGGGGGGGGGGGGGTTCTCCAGAAGTTTGTCCTGGATCCAGTACTATTGGATATCTTAATTAATGATTTGGTGGATAGAACTGAGTACATCATAAATTCACATTTGGTACTAAGCAAGGGTAGAAGATACTTTGGAAGGTAAAATTAAGAGTCAAAATGACATTGATAAATTGGAGAAATAGGCCAAAATTAATCTTATAAAATTCAATAAGAACAAGTGAAAAGTCCTGCATTTAGGATACAATAATCACATATGCAAATATAGATTGGAGAATGATGGCTTAACTTGCATTCTGCAGAAAAGGACTTGGGGATCTTATTGGATTGCAAGCTGAAAATGAATCAACATTGTGAAAAAAAGCTAATAGCATACCAATATGTGTTAACAGGAATGTTGCGTGCAGCTTACAGGAAATGATTCTTCCACTCTATTCAGCTCTGGTGATGCCTCACCAGGAATACTGCATCTAGTTTGGGGCACTGCATTTCAAGAAAAATGTGGAAAAATTTGGAAAGAGTCCAGTGGAGAGCAACAGAAATGATGAAAGATCCAAGCAACATGAATTACAAGGAAAGTTTGGAAGATCTGGGATGATTTAGTCTTGAGAAAAGCAGCCTGAAGGGGGATTTGATAGCAGTCTTCAAATACCTGAAAGGTTGCTATAAAGAGGATGATGATCAATTCACCCACAGGGGGATGGGACAAGAACTAATGGGCTTAAATTGCATCAGAGGAGTGTTAGATTGGGTATCAGGAAGAACTTATCAATTACCAGGATAGTTAAGTGCTTTAATTGATCACCTAAAGAGGATGTGGAATCTTTGTCATTTGGAAATTTTTAAGAGCAGATTAGACAAATGTTTGTCTGGGATAGTTGAGACGGGGATCAGTTGCCTTGATCAGGGGGTTGAACTAGATGACCTGAGGCCCCTTCTAAGCTTATTTCTCTAAAATTCCATGAAAAAGTTAGAGAGATAATGAATGAAGCAGAACAAAACCAGGAACATATATGCTTTCAAATATAATCTACAATCCATTGGCTTGTTGCATTCACAGTCAAAAAAAAGAAAGAAATAGGCACGTTCAGCTTGTGGGAAAGGTGATTAAGATGGGATATGATAACAGTCTTCAAATATCTGAAAGACT